CTTAAAAATAAAATATTTTTATTCTAATGATTTTTAATGTTTTTAAAAAAATAAAAAAATACTATAAATTACTTTAACAAAAATAATTCTCATTAGTAAATTGAATACAGAATTATTAAAAAGTGTAAAAAGACTTGTAGAATTATTTTCTTATATTGTATTAAAAGTATTTAGTACTTTAACATTATCAGAATTATATTATAAAAGAAAACATCTAAAAGATGAACATTTTTTAATTAGTAATTTGTATTCTAAATACTTTAATACAAGAGATACAGATAAAACTATTTTCCAAATAGAAGTATTGTTAATATATGATTTGATTAGTAAATTTTTATATAGTGATATTGAACCAAATGTTGACAATATATTAATAGTCATTCTTGAAAGTCAATAAATATATAAATATATTCAATAATGTATTTAATGTTTCACAATTTTTATTAACTAGTATGCTTAAGTTACAAGATTATAATCATCTAGATATCTTTGTCTCTATACAAAATAAGAAATATGCATATAAGAAGCTATCAAATATAAATCATTTTTAAACATTACCAAAAAAAATATTAGAATTTGTATGATATTTATAAAAAGTTAGAATATCTTAAATATCCTGAATGAATTGTAGTGAAAATGATTATGAAAAATATAACATTTACCTTTTATTAATAAATTACTAAAAGCTGTAAAAAATTATATAACTTTAAATAAGTTAATTCATTATATAAAAATTTACAAAACAAATCTTGTATATAAAACTTCTGAATTGTTTTTTTTTTTTTAGTATTAAGGTAAGACCTTGCTTATATTTTTATTGGTAATTTTAAAATTAGTAACTATATAGAATTACTATGTACAAAAATAATTTTATATAAATGCTATAGCTGAGGCTAACACTTGTGATTAGGACTAACTATTAAACTGCTAACTATATAATTAAGTACAAATAAAAGAAAAAATTATATTTGAGAATAAAACTCAAGCATATTTATTTGCAACCTAAACCTACTAGAGTGGTCAAGACTTACCTAGATTTGAATAGTTAAAATATAGTTAAAAGAAATATGATATTTGATCCAGAGAATAGTCCATATATTAATTTTTCTAATAGCATAACTGATAAGTAGTTTCGGACATTTCACCCAGTTTCGGACTTGGAACCTTGGGCAAAACTAGGTTTCGGAGGTTTCGGAAGTTTCACCCGGCCGAAAGTTTCAGTGTAGGCCGTAACACTATATAGCAGATTCATATAGTACAACATTTAAAAGCAAAAAAATTAGAGTCGCGATAAGATTTTGGTAAAGATGGTTTATACTAAAGTTTTGTAAAGAATCTTCCTTGTTAGAACACTATAAATAGTTTTTAAATATTTGTGGTTTATACAGCTTAAAAAATGAATTTTTGAATATATAATTTAAATCGAGATCTATTTTTACCGACTAACGTTCAGATGGAAATGAAATTTAAGAAAAAATGCACATTTTTGTCATGGGTTATGCCAGATATATAAAAACTCTTACATCATACCTCATAAATTTGATAAGATTGCAAAAATAAGTTAAAGGATCTGGAAAGATAAATAAAATAAAATAAAAATCGTAAAAAAATATATTTATTAATTAGAATTTTGACTCATAAATACATTAAAGATACAAGAAAACCATGTTAGCTAACCTGGTTTTTTTATGTTTTTTATTCTAAGGAAACTATTATTACTATCTGAACTATATGAATATTAACCATATGACTATTAACCCTAATATTGGAAGAATTCAATCAAAAATGGAAAGACTTGGTCAAACAATTAGAAATTTAAAACTCTGGATTATTCTATGAACTCTCTGATGTAGAATCACGGATCCTTTATTAATCAAGGAAATTTAGAAATAGAATACTTTTTATTCGAAATTTAGAATACTAAATTCACGCAATTTGAACTATAGGTTTTGTTTGTTTATATACTTAATTTTTCATATAGCAAAATGATCAAATAATAAAAATAACAAAATTGATGAATTCTATCCATTTCTACTATTCGAACAGTTCCCAATAATATTGAAATTCGGATAATTTTTAGAAAATTAATTATTTAAAGTGAATTTCTATTTGACCCACCCGTGTATATGAAAAAAAAACAACCCAAAACTCGTTGATATCTTAAAATTTTATTAAGAAAACTGGTGTAGTTGCTTTAAGTAAAAATGTTCAGCGCTTAATTTACTTGTAAATACACCTTTAACTATAATCTACCTTGACTTACCCTAACCTAATATGTTAATATACCGGGTATCATACTCTATTGGTATTTTCTTACTTAAAATAATGATAAAAGTTACCGAATGTTGTATTACTTCGGGTCCGCAGTACTTCTTGGTGAAGACAAATCCGACTTCTTAACATACACAAAGCCAGACTTTAACAACCTTTTCCTGTAATTGAGACCCAGAAGCACGACCACTATGATAAAATCCACTAGTTCTTAGAATTTTGTATTATTAGAAATACGTACTTAGTAGAGCATAGAGTTCTGTGTCATTTGTTGATCCTTTATCACGTTGTTATACAACCTGTATTCGTCGCGGAAAATCCTATAACTTTCTAACTAAAATGTTTCAAGAACGATCTAACCATTTACAGTGAATTTTGAAAATAGACTTTGATAGTGAATTAGCTTAAATAGTTTCTTGTGATATCTTTTAATTTTGAAGAAAATTAAATCTATATTAAATTCTAATTTGTTTTTCCGTTTTTTTTTTTTGTAATCTAATCAATTTCAAATAACGTGATTGAAATTATCCGTTAAGTTACTTCCAAATACTATTACAAATCTTTTAATCATGATAAACCAATAAATATATAAAATGTCGGGAAAATATTTTATTCTGATAATCAAATTATTTGTCTGGTGATATTTTCCTGATTAGGATTATTGTCGACTTATACGTTTAAATATTACAAAATTAGATAATGACTAAAGTTGAACAAGCAGGTAATATCTCTACACCCAATAATCATTGTTGATATGTAATTTTTCAAACATTCATGCGAACTGAAATTATTGAGAAATTAAATGACCTGTTTTAGAAATGAATGGATGCTACGTATATTATTACTAAAGCACAAATCATTATTTTGCATAATACCGATTTCGAAGAGTTATAAGTTCTTAAATGCGCTAAAGGTGCTAGTATACATAAGTAGTATGCATATGGGGTGGTCAATTAAAATGTGAGTGCAATTATTATTCAAAAAACACAAGATTACAAATTCAGAAAATTTGACTATCGATGCATTATAAGTTATGCCACACGTCAATACTAGTCAGGATATGCATTTTAATTTACAAAGTGCTAAATTAAACCTGCAACCTTGAAAGCACGTGGAATACAGGTGTGTCAATCTTTTACCTAAAATGCAGTATACGCTGTATACTCTGCATCGGGTCTTTAATGGATATTAGCGTAATAAGGGAATCAGTGGGATCAAGGGAATAATTAGTATAATCAGTATAAACCTTATAATCAGTATAAGCAGGATAATAAGTATAAGTAATATATCACGGATAAGATGTATAAGTAATATATTACGGATAAGATGTATAACATGCTACAAGTAAATGAAATTATATAATAAAGGCGTTCGCCCTAGAGAAAAAAATCGTTCGTGATTCAAATAAATCCGTCTCCCTATAATTACATAATTTCCCCTACGTTATAATAAAATACTTACATTTCGATCTACTGCTTAAATGGCATAAGTGGTACGATCGTCGTTCTTGTAATCTTGCTCACGTGATATCCTAAAGTGTGCCGTTACCCTGTCCGGTTGATTCTCGACGTACTGAGGACTATTATGGTTATTTCCAACTCTCACAACGTACTGTGGACAGTTGTGGTTATTGTATTCAGGTTTGAGGTCCAAGAGGAAGGTCCCAGCTGTGGTTGTTGAAAGTATTGCAGGATTGATAGTGTCACATACAAGTGAGCAGAGGAAGCCGTATCGGAAGGTTTAAGGCAAGTAGAAAGAAGTCATACCTACGACCTTAATTCTACTAGCCAAATAGAACCGCCTCTTATCGACTAAGCCCATTCATAGGTTACACGACGTCCCAGATTGTGGAGCGACTGACTCGCCGTATAGAGTTGTCACTATAAACGTGATAATATTCAAACTAAGGCAGGTTTTGATTGACAACATAGCATATATTAAAATTATCCACCTTTAGTGCAGAATAAAATGTGTCAAGAACCTTTTGTTTTATCAGTTATCTTGCATCAATCTGTGTACATACGTAACAGGAGGAAACATCGATGTTACACGGCTGATCCTTCACCCGGTGCTTAATATATAAAAAAATTATTAAATCATTCCGTTAGTACATGTTATGTTTATAATCCAATACCATTTGTATTATAATAAAACAGTGTGGGATTATAATCATAACATATACTAACGGAATGATCTGATATTGCAAAATAATTTTTTTATATATTGCACACCGGGTGAAGGATCAGTCGTGTGCCATCGACGTTTCCTCCTGTTTACGTACGTACGTAGAACCTAAATTTTGATCAATATGATATGATATGCAAGCTTTTCTTGGCATTTTTTATTTACGTTACATTTTTTCTGCAAGTGATCCCGTACTGCATTTTATAATTTGTACACATTAAACGCATAACAGAAAAAAAAGATCAAATACATCACACTTAATCTCTGTATTCATTGAATTTGGCAAACAATGAGCTAAACCAGATGCGTTAAATAATTATTGAGGTGTTTTAGTAAAAATAATACGTATATGTATATTGTAAAATTTATCTACCAATAAATAAATAAAAATGCCAATGTAAATAAATGCAAGCAATTTAGTACAAAAATGTAAATAATTTAAAAAACTATAAAGCGAACATTTATCTTTTTTTTTAAGTGAAAAACTAAACTCTCTTTCATTTTCCATAAATCCTTTATTCATTCTTTTAGTCAAACATCCTACAATGAAGATTATTTTCAGCATCATTACTTTCCTCCTCATCACTCTTGCAATTGTTGACGGACATCGCCCCAACTTCCATCAACGCAAGCATCTTAATCACCAATTTCATAAATCATATCGCCATCATCTTAAGTTCTTTCAAAATCACAAGTCACCCACAAAATCGTGCACAACCAAAATTTTGCCAAAACCCACATGCGTTGAAAATGTCCTTTGTAAAATAGGTCACAAGTGGGATCGATCTGAATGCAAATGTGTCCCGATGACCACAACTACAACCACTGCTTTACCAACAAACACATGTCGTCCCATCTTTTGTTTAGAAGGTTACAAGTGGGATCGATCTGAATGCAAATGCATCCCGATTACCACAACTACACCATCGACCACAATCACAACTTTACCAAAAACCACATGTCATCCTATCCTTTGTATGAAAGGTTACAAGTGGGATCAATCTGAATGCAGATGCATCCAGATTACCACAACCACAGCTTCACCACGACACACATGTCCTATAATCCATTGTCCAAATAATTACCATGTTGATCCATCTGACTGTAAATGCATTCCACCAACCGCATATAGTACCGATCCTCCTAGTCCTAAAGCCGAACGTCAAGTAGATTATAGGCTCGTAACCAGACCATATAGAGATTCGAGTCTGGCTTATCCGAAATATGCATCAAATCCTGCTCAATAAATATTTTCATTTTTTATCATCAATTTTTTAGGTATGGTTTTAATATTAATAAAGTGAAGCAATTATAGATTATATTTTTCTGTACAAAATTCCTTATAGTAATTGTTTTTTTTTTTTTTTTTGCTTCCCTAATTTAATAAAAATTTCCAAATTTACATAAACAATAACATATGCATAGTTCTGCACAAGTATGTACGTATGTACTTGAGTACGTGTCCTACCAAAATTTATGGTGATTTTTAAAGGTTAATGTATAGCACCATTTTTTTTCAAACAAGACTAATGCACTAATAAATGTAAATTTATGAAAATCAGTTAAAAAGTTGCAAAATGTATTTTATATTCTAATATTTATTTTAGTACAACCTTTAATTATTACATCTATATATTTTAAGATCTATACTACTTACAAAATTTTTGATATCAATCTACTTAGTAAAATTTCTTGTAACCGTATTTAGATTTTTGTAATGAACCTCTGAGTCAAGTTCTATAAATTTGTCCTTGTAAAAAAAGAATTAGTTCTACTGTTCTAATAAAGTTTATCAAGTTATTACCATAGTTTTAAGTAAATTTATTTTCTATCTTAAAAATGTATACAGTATTAAATTTAATAATTTTTAATCATTATTATTATATAAATATTTATATATTTTATGATTTTTAGTCTAGTATCACATACAGCTTCATGCACTTTGCAAAAAATGGTTTGATAAATTAATTATATTAAAAACTGGTTTAATTTGTTTAATTAGATCTCATTTTTTTCCGATGGTCATTTTCCCAAGCCATTTATTTAACATTTTATATTTACTACCATTTACTAACAATATATTCTGCAACTAATAAAATGCTAATTTGTTACCTTGTCTGATGTCTGATAAATAGCTTATCAGGGAAATGGTTGTCATGGAAATGTGCGACTACCGTTTAATTATGAATCTATATTAATCTTTGTCACAATTAGTTAAACACCTTTCAACGTTGAGACAAATTATAAATCAAAAATTTTATACTAATTAACACTAAGTTGTAAAGGAACGTTACTCAAACAAATTACAAGTTGATTTGAATGTTTGGTTTAAAATCGCACATTGTAAATTTCTAAAAGTTGATCTTTAATAAATGTTATAAAAAAAAATTGTAACTTTATAAATATGTAAGAATCGATAAGTATGTATTAAAATTTTAGATAAACAATATGCAATTACTATATCTAATAAAAGAATTTTTTTAGTCTTTACTAGTTTTTTTAAATCTCCCTGTTTCGTTGGATTTTTTTACTGAAGATCATAATGAAAGACCGTAACTAAAGATGCTAACCTCAATCTGCCCCTCAAATACCGACGAACAAGTTGTCACGTGTGCTTGATAATATAGGCTATTTGTAACAGCTGAAAGGGGTAAATGTGATGAATGAGGGTTAATGTGAACTTATAGTTGAAAGAGAAATTATGTGTTTGTATGTCAAACGTATGATTTATTTTATTTAATAAAAAAAGAGACAGTGCAAAGATTCTAATTGGTACGTATTTATATAGTGGAGCGAAACGCTCTTTTGATGAGTGTTATATCTGTTATAACCAGCACTTTTACATTATCTATCCTAATACTAACTACCACATAAAGATTGATACAACACTGTATAAAGTTAGGTAATTTCAGTGGCACAGAAGATTAAAGTGAAGGCCCGTCATCGGCTTGTCTCGTGAACACGTGATTTAATTATGAGAAATAGTATTGGTTCTATTCATCAATCGGGTTCTATAATAGTTAAATATACAAACCAGGTCAAGCCGATAACATCCTAAGTTTTAAATTCTATTCTTTATCCATGTGACTTGAAACGTGATTAATATTTGATTGTGAAATATGTTACTAAAACTTAGCGTAACGAAGAAAAAAGTTGTTAAGAATATTAAAATATAAATCACAGCTGTTCTTGGACAGTGAAAAATTTTCTCATTGTCTAATTGATAAACCATCGAGTCAGAATTACAGCCGTTTCATAAATTTAGGGACACAAAAAAATTTGGCGATGATAATTTCAGTCGAATTCGATAAGTTATTTATTTTTATAAGAAATTTGTGCACGTGTGCACGGAATTTTGAATACAAAATTAAATTGCACATAAACATATACAGGGAAGTGCACACCTAAAGCACACAACATTGGGGTGTTCGATATATTATGTATGTGAGGTTATATTATTTTTGACATTTCTAAGATCTTCGATCGATCGATAACTCATACAAAAGTACTTTTATATATAAAAATCTGTCACATATTTTTAGATGCACAGGTTCACCATCTTATTATCCAAAGTTTGACATAGGTTGCTTCTTCGTTGCCACTATAACATATCATAAAGTTAGTTTTTACATTATATATAAGAAATCAAATTTTCACAGCCTTTTTTTTTTTAACTAAATATAAATTTCACACTGTAACTTTGTTTATTGGAACTTTTTGATCTATTAAAAATTTGGATTCATGATTCTTGGTTTTAAAGGTTATACGTCTAGTTAATGGTTATAATGATATATATAGTTTGATTTAAATAGTACATCGAACACACCTATAGTTGGCGGTAGAATTCATTTAACAAATTAATACGGTTACGGCGTGTGCCGTATTATTTTCCGTAATTTCT